CATATGGTACACACACACACACACACACACACACACACATCCCTCCTATGAAATCGCAAACATGCTAACAATGAAATCATGAAGATGTACACATACGTTTTCTTCTTCTCTTCCACAATCTGCTGTCCAGATGTCTCCAGAACGCCAGAGTGGATGAAAAACTAAAACTAATCAAACTATATTAGACCTTTTTTCACCAAATACACCAAACACACCACCGATTTGTTGGTTTTTACTTGAAATTTCTAGACTTCAAATTGAATTCAAAACTGAAAGTCTCCATAACGGACATGGTGATCTAAAACTGCAACGGCAGCAATTCTTTCCATCTGCATCCATTTTGCAGTGGACGCCGTTAAACGCTTAACATGTTCAATAACAGCCTCTATCTTCATCTGTTTTCTTTATTCAACCTTTGTTTAAATCTTAAATAATCAAACAGAACACAGAAACAGGAGCGTATTAATTTGTATTTATGGGTTTAAATTGGGCAGCACAAGAACTAAAAGAGTCAAATAACGACTATGAGACGCCAACATTTCTCTAATTCCTGATCTTCCTCCTCTTCCTCAGTACTTGGACCTGTCGACACCCTTCGAGCAGTACTCCCCGTCGTGTGAGGACACGTCCAGCTCCTGCTCCTCCGACAACGACTCCGTTTTTACCCACGATGCCTTGTCCACCGACCCCTGCCTCCTGGGCTACCAGGACGTGCGCTCACGGATCGACATGAAGACGGCGCTCCGATAGACTGAAGGCACACAGACACGAACACAACAACACTACAAAGGGCTTTTTTTCGAGTAACTGGTGGCCATATTGGAGGTCCATTCCTAAAGTTAAGTTAAAGTTTTAAAGTTTCTGGACCTCCATTACGGCTCCAGACGAAGCCCTTTTAGATATAGGAGGACATTTAAACACGCACATAAATAACACATACAGAGACACATGTATGCACGTGGAGCACTGAGGCCAGTGGGCTTCTTTACATGATGAAGGTTTGAAGAGAAACATTTCATTGTGGGCAGAAGAGGATGAAACATGGGTACAAACGTGGTACTTTGGACTATCAGCTCTGGCACTGTGCCCAAGAACAGTTGTAACGTTGGAAAACTGCGGCACTAAACAGAAGAGACCCTGGTACTCGAACGCCTCCTTCAGAGAGGTGGCGGACAACCTCACACAACCCAAAAACCAGGGCTCGAAACCTTGGTGATAAAAGACATTTTAACAAAAAAAAAAAAGATTTATTTTGCTATGATATAAAAAGAAGAAACTGATTGTTAAATATAAATCTCTTTATATAAGATTATTTTACTTTTGTGTTGCTTATTTAAAAAAAAAAAGAGTCTTAAATCTCAGGATCTCTTGTGCTAAGAAAGTTGCTGTAGCGGCAGCAAAGTGCCTGAATTTATGATTTCCTGTGAATATATTAGAATATTAAAATATTGTATGTACATATCAACAACAGAAAAGACGATTGCCTTTTATAAATTATTCTGAATGACGCAAAAATGAAGGTTATTGGAGGGCGAGAAGGAAGAGAGGAATTTAATTGTGTGCCAAACCCGTCACCGCTGTCTTCATGTTCCCGTTTCATTCCAAAACCCAACCAAATAATTCAATATAGACTCCAATGAGCTCCCAAAATGTAAATAAAACGAACAGTGGAGTCTCAAACTAAGTTAAAAGTTGGTTTACATGAGCAGCTTCTGCAAACATTTTGGAAAAACAAGCCTGCTTTTGGAGCGAGAAACACAAAAAACTCTTAATTTCTCAGCAAACCTCAAACGTATGTGGTCAAAAATAATAGTTGATTGGCTAAAGATGCTTAAATTTGGTAAATTTTGGAATGAAACTCTGTTTTGTAGTAAACTGCTTTGACCTCCACAATAATTTGTGGTTTATTACGAGCAGGAGCCCAGTTCTTGTTGCTGTTGTTGGACGAAAACCACAGCTCGGATGCATTTTTATAGTTAGAAAACGAGTTAAAACTTAAAACACAGAGAAAGGTCACAAGACTGACTCATTTACACATAGAGACATTATGTGGTCTTTCCTCTAACAACAGCTTTCAGTCTCTGCCTCAGAGGCAGTGTGTCCAGGGTGGGACTCGTCCTGAAAGGAGGGTCTGACGATTCAGCATGGGGACTCTGTTGGGGATCTGGCCCAAGCCTACTGTCACTGACAAGGAGAGGAGGGCAGGGAAGGGGAGGGTGCGGAGTACTGAATGTGAAAGCCAGTGTGATTGATTTCAAATAGAGGAGAAGGGGGAGGGTCCCTCCTTTGTCTGGCTGTAACCCTTCACCCAGCCCAATCTGTTGGCGAGGGGTCCTCAGGTCCGCAGCCTGGCCGGACAATGAAGGCTTTGCAGGCTTTTAATGGGTGTGACTACGGACCAGAGGGAGTTGTAGGGGGTGGTGGTGGTGTGGGGATAGCTTGGGCTTGTGTGCAAATGAAGAGGCTCTTATTATGTTAATGTGTCCTCTTCTCTCCCAAACGCCCCTATCTTTATCCCCCATAGCCACCATCTTTTAAATTACAAATCTTAATTCAGATTCGCCGCTGCCAACGGGACCAGCTGCAGAAAATTCCCCTGTGGGGTAAAAAAATACCAACCGGGTTCCCAAACAATTGAGACACAAACAAAATAACCACTGACAGTTTGTGTGGAAGCAGATTTTAACAAAAAGAGATCAGATTGTCTGATCGGCTAATGTGAGATCTATCAATCCTGTTAGGCGAGTTTTGTGAGTTTCTCCTTTCCTGTACTCAGATATGCTAAGTGCTAATTTAGTCTATGTTGAAAACACAACCACACTTTGAAGACTGTTAACAAAATGTTAGCTAACTACCTAGCTAATCTACATAATCAGCTTTTATCTTTTAACCATCTTCAAAATGTCGTCTTTCCAGCATAGCATATCTAAGTACAGGAAAGGAGGAAGTTGACTGAGGTTCCAAGAAGGGGCGGGGCTTACAAAGGGTCAATTGTAACACCTGGTGTTCAGGTGTTATAAATACAGGTACAAGTCCTCCAGGTTGGGAATGGCTGGGTTCAAGGACAGTCCTTTGGGTGCTTATGTGCTATTTCACCTTATTTTCTGAGGCTGCATTGACACAGCTGTGGCAGCAGATGGCAGTATATTCTAATATATCCCAAAAACTGTGTAATCACAAATGAATTAATTTTTTTCTTTAAAAGGTTTATATGTACAAAAGCTTCTTTTCCAGACGGTACCAACTCATATCCTGAAAATAAATAAGCCTGCAATATAAATTCATCACATCTGAAAATGACTAAAAGTAAGTCAGTAAGTAAATGTTTGTCAGGTCACTGTTACACTGACTGTTTCTGTAAGGTTTTTAACTTTCACATTACCATCATTAACCAGGGCAGTGTGTGCAGAGATTACAGGGGACAACAAGTGCAGCAGGTGTCCTGTCAGGAGCTGTCAAGTTACTTATGTTAGCTACAAAGAAAAAGGAAATAAAAATATACCTTCTTCAAAATAAAAGCATACAACAGCCTTTTACTGAATGGTAAATTATATGTGTAATAAAATAAATAAAATAAAATGTGTAGCTATGTTTTGAAGTTCTTCTACCACGTAACAGTTATATAGGGTGGCCTGTTTGATGACAAAAAATAGTCCTGAAGATGAAAGGAGGTAAGTGGGACAGATAGATAGGTTAAATTAAATGTTCAATGTGCTTTAATCCAAGTTTTTCATTTTCAGCATTGATTATATTGGTTGTTATATTGGTCATTAAAAGAGGTTATTCTCATAAAAATAAACCGAATTTAATAATGAATTCAATGTATCATCACCTGTTCATGTGGTCACCTTCATTACCCTAATTATCTGTGCAGTGCCTGTTTTTTTATTTCATCTATAATTCTGTATTTATATTTCTTATTCATTGATTTGTTTTTATATTTATAGTTTTTATCATATGTAAAGCACATTGGTCAGTGTGTTGTTTTCATTTTAAATGTATCTCTTTAAATTAATTAGGAAGATTAGGGGCCAAGAGAAAAATTTGAGTTCTGAGTATTAACAAAAAAGTTCAGAATTATGACTTTCTTTTAACTTTTACTTTAAACATGTATTTAAGGTTTGAGTCCTTTTCCATGGAAGCCCTATTCTACCAATGTGATGGGGGAAATGATTCTGTTTGTCACTATTATGAGAGGCTTTCACAAAGTAATGACGTAGTGATTCTATTTTCATATTTCATGTCTATATTTTGAGAAAGTTTCTAATTATAATATACTGAATCTTTTTTTCCTGTCACATTGGCTTCCATACATCCTCTGGACACAGCTATACTCAATGCTAATACAGAAATGTTGACGCCTTTATTTTGAAGGTTACACTTGAAGGAAGTGGCTTTGAACTTGTGCCCCTCGTTGTCATGTCGGTTAGCTTGAAGAAGGAGACTTGTTGCAGCTTCATGGAAGTACAAACACGGAAACTTGTGTGAACGATGTATTGTTTAGAGGAAGCGCCAGAGCGCGACGCTTCTTCAGGTCGCGGTTTGTGACGGGTCGATGTGGAGGAATGGACGGAGGAGGCAGAATGGTCCACGGCGGAACGGAGCCGGGACCGGCTGAAGAGGCTCTGCATCAGTGCCAGCTCATCCAGAACCTGGTGGACATCTCCATCTCCAGCCTGCAGGCTCTCAGGACCACATGCGCCGCATCCAACGACCTCACCCGGCGGGAGATCCGCAATTTAGAGGTACGGTTGACGAGGCACGCTCGTGCTCCTGCTCTGGGGCTCGGGCCTGCGAACCTTTGTGTACAGTCAGTGCAGTGTGACGACATCTGCCAGCTTCTTGCTTGTTAGTGGAACCCTGTCCAAACAGTCTGGAACAGGTGTTGCGCCGAATTGTGTCACCCATCAGATTCTTTGACCTGTGAGGAATGTTTAGTACACTGACTTTTTTCACAGCAGCCATTTTGACAGCAGGTAGTAGGTTAAACACAGGTGGTACCAGTGATACTTATTAAGGTTCTGTTGCATTCAGGTCAGACAGAGTCAGGGGGCTGAGCTTTTTCAGCAGTCATTTTGACATGAAATAGTAAGGTACACACAGGTGATATCAATGATACTGGAACTAGAGATGGACCAATTATCAGCCTGACTGATTATTGGATCCAATATTTAGCATTCTTCTGATTAGCTGTGTTGTTACTATTTTTATCCGATTGGCAATAAAATAAATGAATTTAAAATTGCACTACTTTGGCTGCAGCATTTTAATTTAAAAACAACAACCATATGCTTAAAGTACTTATTTAACTTAATGTTACTTACTTGACATGAAATAGTAGGGTAAACTTAGGGATTATCAATGATATTAATTAAGTTTCAGTTTCATTTAGTGTAGCAGAGCCTTTTCAGTGAAAGGCAGCACATTGACTCTATTGGACCTGAATGGAATGGCTCACTAGAATATGTCAGACTGCACCAAATGGAACTAGGGAAAGCCCGATTATCGGAACGGATATTCAGCATTTGTCCGATTATCAGTATTGTTATTCTGTTATCTAATTGCTGACAAAATAAATACATTTTAAAATGCACTACTTTGTTTGCAGAATTTAATTAAACATAAGCTAAAGGTACTTCTTTTACTTAGCTAACTTACTTGACACATAGTAAGGTAAACGCAGGTGTTTACAGTGATACAAATTAAGGTTCAGTTCCATTCAGATCAAAAAAGCACTTTCCTCATAGACCACCATTATAAAACAGATGCTAACAGGCTGCAAATAAGGGCAATACTTACTCTTTGTATTATGAGCTTTTAATCTGTGAAGGTGTTGTGTTAGTAATGTGATTTTAAAGTGCATGAAGACATCTCAATATTGAAGTGGGTTGTTTGACGTATTTCTATCCTCAGTCAGTAGACAGTAGTCAGCACGTCCCCACTTTGCAGAAGCAGACTGGAGTACCAGCACAGAAAGTAAGCAATGTACTGCTGGGGAGGGGGGTAGCAACAAAACCTTTTAGCCACATGAAAAATACCTGCTTAAAAAAAATCAATGTCAGTTTTAGTGTATGCTAAATTTAGAATAGTTTTCCACTTTACCTGGCCATCACACAGCCCTTACTGACAAGAACTTGAGGCCATTATATCTATCTATGCTGTCTCCAAAGCCACCAGACTAAACCAGACATAAACTTCAGTTTCCTGTCGGAAAGGGCTGTGTGACAGTGAGGTGAAGTGTTGAAAATATTCTAAATATAGTGTACACTTCAACTGATAGTGATTTTTTTTTTTTTAGGTGGCTAATAATATTTTCTTCTGCCCCTGTCATTGTGGCAGTGCATTGCTCTGCTTGTGTGCTGGTACTCCTGTCTTAGTGTCTCATGTTGACCTCTGTCTACAGCACACTGACTATGGTTAAGTACCTGCAGGATTAATTGAAATTTTATGGAAATTGCAATATCCAAATCGCAGAAGCTGTAATTTATTACAGACCCCAACAAATGTCACATCATAATGATTTTAATAGTTTTTTAAGTGAAAATGAAAATTGTGATGCAAATGTAGCATTCCCATTTTTGCAATCCCCTTCTTTCAAATTTATTGACGGAAGAAAGGACACTTGTGGCCCCCAGGA